CACACACACACAGAGGCACTTCGGAGAATTGGAGACAAATACGGAGAAGGCTTTGCTAATTAGCATACCAAATAGGGAATACGGAGGGAACTGCAGGATTAAGTCAAATACAATTGGCACCTAAAATATCATTAGTTTATTTGGTATATTTCGGAAGCCAAAGTTTGATGCTGAATTTATATATTTATAGTGTCCATTAGGAGCCAGTTTCTGACTAAAATTAAAACACCCTACCAGGAATTAAATATATAAATATATAAAATATATTACACTCACATATTGATATTTTTCCCTGCGCTTTAAGGCCAAATGTCTACATGTAATTAATGGCTTAACGATCTTTAATAAAGTAGCGATGCGAGAAAGCAATCAACTAAGAGAATTTCCCCAGGATGTGGCACATGACCCAAATAAAATGAATTTTTAATAGCAATTTGCCGCAGCAAGTGGCCAAGGACAGGACTAGCCATAGTCCATTCCCTGCCTCCATCTCCGGGCTATTTTAATTATTTATCCGTCGACAAATTCGACAGGAGTGACTGAGCTTGTCTGCCTTGAAGGCGGTGTCTCTGGCAAGTCCGAAAAATGCTAGTCTCTCGCCGCAAGTGTGAAAACTCCGCTCGAGGGGGAGGGCACAAAACTTGCTATGTTTCATCCATCAGGCAGGGAATCTAATTAGTTCATTCATATTTGAGGTCGCTGCTCATCTTGCCGGAGCCGCTCAACTGAAGGAGCCAAAATCCCTACTTAATGCCACACACTTTTCCGCGCCATCAGGCACTCATTTGCATTTAATGCCAGAACATTACATACGAGGACGAATACGAGTCCTCATTGTGACAGGCAGACATATGTGTTAGTTGGCATAAATACATAATTTCATATGGGCATTTCCAGAGAAAATATATTATTTGGAAATTATTTGTTTGAAAGTTTATAAAATCAGGAAACTCTGGCTTGTGGGAATAGTATCATAATAACATTTGAAGTATATATTTTTAATACCTTTATAAGAGAATAACTTCTTTATTAATATTCCCCCGTCTTTCCTTATTATCCTCTGGAAAATCACATATGTGAAAAGAGCCTCTCCACCCTTTTCGTTGTGCAGCTGAAAATTCTTGACTTTCGGCTTCGTTTAATTAAGCCGAAATTTCAACAATGCTCACAGACACATACGAGCTCAGCAGTCAGTTGCCTTGTTGACAGCTGTCTGCAGGACCCGTTCCAGGGCTCCTTGGGATGCCTGGAGTCCTGCATCATTCTGAAGGACAAGAAGGAGAAGACGATATGGGAACCTGCAATTGTTGGCGGGGCATTGACAGCTCGACAATGGTGGCCCAGAGATGGCAGATAGCCGGCGTAGACTTTTCGCAATTGTCATTGCAGTTAGCATCTGCTCAAGTGTTCTATTGCCACATCACTCGTCACCTTGGGAGCTGTCGTTCGCTCCCTCTTGCAATTTCCTTTATTTTTCCACACTTTCCCTTTGCCAGTCCCCCCCCCCTCTCCCATTTCCGCCACCGTTGCCTAACGAGGCACGAGCAAAAACTTTAAGTTTCCGAGAAAGTTTCACAAAAAGCAAACAATAAATATTTGCTCAGCGCATAAATCAGCAGACTAGGCTCTGCTATTATCGTTCCTGGATTTATATATGCATATATATCTTGCACAAGCCCCGCCCCAAGCCAGTTGCTTGTTGGTTGTGGAAATTTAAATGTATGCTAAGCAGTGAGTTTAGTTGGTTTTCTGGGTTCAATGCGCCTCGAAACTCGAGCGTGGCAAAGTTCAAAGTGCAAGGAAATTGAAAATTTATTAGAGCACTGAGCGAAAAAATCAATGATAAATAAAAAGGCACCAGGTAAAATTTTAAATATGTTCATTGCGAATTTTAACAGGACACTTAACAATCACATATCAAATATAAATTGTATATAAATATTTGCATTTAAAAGTTGTATAGTACATCTAAGACAGTTCTAATATTAAGAAGTAATATTTATTTGATAAACAAATTACCTTGTCAGTTAAAATAATTATCGTTTCTTGAATTTTCTTTTTATATTATTATTTCCCATTTATGAATTGCAAATTTCTTTAAATTGCGGGAGAAGAGAATCGCATTACTTCTGCTCTTTGAAGTGAAAGGGAAGCGGAATGATAGAAATTATGTTTTGCCTCAACCAGTTTCCCCGCAGGACCATTGTTTATATGTATTTTCGGTCTAGTAATTGTACAAAGCATTTAATTAACAACTGTGCTGTTGCGCCCACTCGATGTAATCCTGTAGCAAGCAGGTCCTGTTTTTGCCAGAGGCGGAAGTGCTCGGAATGACACTGTAAAGTAAAGTGTGCGAGTTCGCCTATTATTCAGGCTTGTCGCTCCTCCACTTGTAAATCACACTACTTCCGCCCACGCAGACAGGGACAGGGACATAGAGACAGAGACAGAGACAGAGAGGTAGACCGAAAGGAGGCCAGACAAAGGACAGACAGGACATTCGGACAGGTGGGCAGGCATTGCGCCTTTTGTTGCCATTCAGCCAACAGGTTTTGTGCCTTATTATTGCAGGACCTTCTCCAATTGTTGTTGTTCTGTGTGTTAGGTAATGTGTGTGTGTGTGTGTTGACGTTTAATCAACGCATTGTCCCATTTAACTCTGCAAACAAAACCAAAGGCTCTTCTCTTCGCCTTGTTCCTTCGTCCTTCCTGGCCATGGTGCCAGGCTTCCTTTGTCACTGGCCAGCAGCATTTGTTGTCCACTTTTATTGCCAATTAAATGCAGTAGCTGGCTGTCTCTCCATGTTTTCCTCCATTTCCTTTGCCCAGGGTTTAAATTTCTTTTAGCACACACTTGGCAGATGCTTTGTTTATGCTTTCTCTTTGCGCGCTGTTCCGTAAAAGAACACCTAAATTCTCGCTTATGGCTACTAGGATGGGGACTGCAGTCCAAAGGATCTCCGTTAAGGCTTAAGTGGGCAGTCTGGAAAATATGGAACGAAAGTGGAAAGTGTGTGGTGCTTTTCTTAAACTTATGTGGCAAAGTTTCTTTTAGTAAGAGTTCACAGGTTTCGGAGCAAACAATTTATGTTCTTAAGGCAGTAAATTATGTTTAAAAAAATAATTCAAATAATATTTTAATATAAGCATTCATTATGATTACAATTGCGGGAAAAAATCAAAACAACTTTAATGAAATCTGGCTCTTTTATGGGGGTTTTATTATTCCTTCATTTTAAAATCAATTACAAGAAAATGTGGTATGAAATTGAGAGCAAATTAAATGCAATAACGAATTAAAGCTAGCAGCTGTTGGTTGTTCATTTAATTTTATTTAATTTTTAATGCGTAAAGTTGGTCTTCGGTCGGGTGAAGGGTCACCTACTTGCGGGGCTTTGGGAAATTGAGAATTCATTATGACATCGCTGACTCACTGCCACTCTCCACATCGAGTTCACCATCGACTTCCACTTCCTCTGCCACATCCTGGCTGTTAACTGCTTTTTAATGACACTGCGCCAAAAGAGGCGACATGGACATAAACATTAACATCGCAGAATAATGTCAGTGAAGCAGAATCTGTGCAGCTGCCGCCGGGGATTTTTAATGAAAATTCACTTGACACGAGGAAAAGGCATTTCGATGTAATTTTTATAATCTTAAGTGTCTTTTACTGTCCATCGTAATGCGGAGAATCCTCAATTAATTTTGTTTACTGCCCCGTTTACGGTCCATTTCGAATCCACTCGGCGGAGTCAACCCCATCCGCTGGCCGAGCCAATCAATCGAGTTTCATGTTTATGAATGAATAATCGCACTTCAGTGCTCTTCAGTATTGCTGCAAGCTAGTTGCCGGTGATCCAGTTAAATATTTACGCAATTTAGTTAATGGTCAGCGTGCCGATGTTTGCCATAACCTTAACATAAATAAGTTATCTGGCTTATTCCAGGTATTAGGCATACGCCCCGTGGTGCCCTCAGCTCAAATGTATGCTACACTTGCAGCCACAGTTACGGCGATTAAGGGGAAGTTGTTTCCATTTCAGACAATTAATAACTTTAAAGTTAATAAGCTGCTTATATACAGCCAAACAAAAATTTAATTAAACAAAGTTTGTGGAAAAGTGGCACAAGCGAGGGTGTAAAGATATATGTTCATATATGCAGCCTCGGCAGTTTCATTTTTGAATTAATTAATTGCATTCGTCAGCGGTTTCGGGTCTGCTTTTTATTGTTGAAAGGATGCCAAATGAATATTGCGGCCTGCTGCAGGCACAGACGTTTTTTCCCCTTCTTTATTAATTAATAAATTCACTTGCACAGCTCAAGGTCGTGGTCTGGTCTGGTGGTGGTGTGTGGTTCTTCGTGTGTGGTTAAATCGGGCAAATAGTTGGGTTTGTGTTAAAGCAAGGAAACCGCTGTCTGCCAAAGAAACCGCAAGACAAATGCCTACTCAAAGATGCCACAAACAGAGATAGAGAGATTGAGACCTTTTTTAAGGGATGGTGGTAGGCGCCTAAGCCAAACAAATTAATTTCATTACGAACCCTGACAATTTTCTTGAACATTTTGTCAATTTTAATTATGAATAATGCCACAGAACAGCCCTGCCAAGTGGATTTTGGCCACAGATGCCTCAAATGATTGATAGTTTTTTCAGTTTGTGAGGGCGTGTGTGTGGCCAGGACATGCGTGGCAGGAGCCAAAAGTCGGAACGAAATAATAATTAGAGTTTGGTTGGAACATCCAAGGATGCCAGCGAGATGAAAGCTAATTAAATTTGTAAAATGTTTTTCCAAAAATTTGATTAGTTTTAGATCAAAGGAAAGGGGGGTTACCACAAAAGCTTTCTTTGATACCTTATTGGATGATTGAATAAATACGTGGGAAATTACTTTGACATATATATAATTCACTTAATTTATTCCAAAGTTATAATAAAGAATACCCAATCTAGTGACACTGACATTAATATATATTTCTGTGAAATCTCCATTTATTCCGGCATCTTCTAAGAATTCCTATCTTTTGTCCTTGCAGCTGACATCGTTTTACAATGAGAGCAGCTGGACAAACGCCTCTGAAATGGATACAATAGTTGGTGAGGAACCGGAGCCGCTGTCACTTGTGTCAATTGTAGTTGTTGGTAAAGTAAATGTCGTTGAATGTACGCCAGAGCAGCGGGCACCAGTGTCCACCTCATCCTCACTGCATCAACTGCATCCACTGCATCCTCTGCATCATGTACCATGTACAGAGTCACAACAACACACGCGGCAATTATCCGTAAAACTGCATGTTGCATGTGACAAACACCACTTTCCGCCCACACACGCACACTCACCGGCACACCCCACGCCACCAAGCCACCACCCATCGCACACTTGCTGTTCGTTGTATCCTGCCCACATAAGTATGCTTTACCACATGATACCCCATGACCCGTCGAGGACCGCGTTTGGAGTGACATTTGACTTGGACTCGCCACAGGCATCTTCCTCTCGGTGCTGATATTCCTCTCGGTGGCCGGTAACATCCTCGTCTGCCTGGCCATCTACACGGAGCGGAGTCTGCGACGCATCGGCAACCTCTTCCTGGCCTCCCTGGCCATAGCGGATCTCTTTGTGGCCTCGCTGGTGATGACCTTTGCCGGAGTCAACGATTTGCTAGGTGAGAAATATACATTTTAGATGGTTTATTAAACATAAGAAATCGAAAAAACATACATTAAGTATCATATATATAATATCCAAAAATATATATAATATCCAAAAAGTGACAGAGTTATTTCCACATGATATTGATTTTATTTTTGGTTCTGTGAAGCTGAGACTTCTTATTTCTTATACGTATTCCTATGGGAAACTCTGTGCCTGGGTAATGGGAAATTGCAATTGAAATTGGCGTTTGCCAGCGCTGAAATTTATGTAAAATGCTGCAGGCTGTGTGAGCCATAAGGACGAAGGGTCCTCCGCGCCACTCAGCGACAGCGGCGGAGCCCACTCAAGCCCATTCGACATGCCTGGCAGCGCTTAAAGCCGGATTTTATGTGGCTTTGTCAATGCTTTTTAAAGTGTCAGCTGCACAAGGAGGCGACGCACGAGTTCCCCAAGAGCTTCTGGTTTCAGCCTTTCGAGTTTTTCGAGTTTTCCCGACTTTTCCGAGTGTTCCCGTGTTCCCTTCATGATGGCGTCCATTGTGATTGCACAGGATTTCCCCCAACGCTACGCTATACAAGTATCGAGGGATGAGTTTGAAGTTTCTCAGCATATTTATAATTTTGCAATAATATATTTTATGCTGACCTCAAGGGCTACATAATATTAGAAGCTCTAGAGTTTATAATATCTCGGAAATAGTTATTATTGATGAGTTTCCCTTACCAATACTTTAACCTTTAAACTGAGAAACTGAAACTTTCCTGGCATCCCTCGTGTCACCCACATGGTTGGACAAATGGTTATAGTCAGGCCAAACAGGAATTTCATTTTATTCCGGCTCTGCGAGTGCCAGTGACGGCGGCGGCTAACATGCAGATCCCGAGTGCAACCACACATTCTGATTATTTTCCATTAGCCATTCCTCGAGTTATCCTTGACGATGGCGGAGCAGGAAACGGAGGAGACTTCAGCTGCAAGGACTCGACTCTCCTAGCTTGCATTCTATTAATTCCACCAACGGAGATGGGAGGAAACTCGGGCTAAGTAAATAAGAGGCAAATTAGGCGAAAGGCGGCAAAACTTTGCCCTTATGGTGAACCGAGGGGCCGAGAGTAATTGGGGGTTCGCTCGTTCAGAGCCAGCAACAACAAGGACGTGTTCCGGTTGAGGAAACATGCAGCTGCCATCAATGTGTGTAAGGACTCTCGCACGCACGCTGCAAAAAAAAAAAGTGGAAAATCATAAACAACAAACAAAAGAAAAAACGGCGAGCCTTGTCTGATATGAGAGTCGGAAAATGTGAGCGGAATCCAAAGCGATGCGGTGAGAGATGAGATGCGGTGAAATGGGAGAGATGGTGGTAAAGACAGCAGAGGAGGTATAAGATGATGAGACGACACATGTGTGTCAACCAGGACGAACAGGGGCGTACATGCAAAGGATTTTTTATGGGGATAAAGAGTCCTTTAGAAATAACAAATCATTTATAGAGACTTTTCTTTTTAAACCAGTTTTCAGTTTTTTTTAACCGATCTTACTAATAATATCTTACTTAAAATATGTGAAAGCTGATCTCAAATCCTTTAAAAAAAAGGACCAACCTACTTCCCTGACTCCACAAACTCTCTCTGCCCGCGAGAATGTGTGAAAATAATAAACGACTTTGGCACTCGGATCTGAGAAGAGCGACGAGTGACGACGGTGCTGCCGCCGCGTAAGCAAAAGTGTGAAAAAATAAATAAAAATGCTCAGCTGCTCAAGACAAACAGATGCCAGCTCCTGAGGGCCTTCCAGCCAACACCCACGCCAAGGCTAACACCCACATACACACACACACACACATACGGAGGTAAATTATTTTCGCCAAGGCAACATTTAGCACGCTCGAAGACAGGCAAATCAGCAAATAAACATCGTACGCAATTGGACAAATTCAAACAACAACAGGAGAGCGAGGACCAGGACGAGGATGAGTGGCGAGAACCGACAGATGCTGCCAGCAGCCGGAGGAATCACGAAAACATATAGATATAAAGCATACTTCTTTTTGGCCAGCAGCAATGTACATACACATTAATGTATGTATGTTCGGTGTGTATTGAAAGCGGCATGAATTATTTGCTGACTTGAATAACACTCCACGGGCCCACACTCACAGCAGTCACACTCACTCATTCACCTCCCGAAAATTGCTTTTTTCGGGGCCATGAGCACATTTTGGCCAAAAATGCTGAGGATTCCGGCTCAGCCCCGCTTCGAATCTCCAATGGATTTCGTGTGGAGTGCAAATTCGGTATTTCCGCAACCATTTGCAAATCTAATGCATTGCCCAGAACAAAGCTCTTGAAAGTATTTGACAAGCGAGGAGTTATGGGAAGACCATCGACATTGGCAGGCGAAATACAAATTAAGTGACGTGCTGCCAGAATGCATGAAATTTTTGTGGAATTTCCAAAGAAATCCTGAAACATTTCAAGTGGCGTTAGGATAAATGCAATGAATATGAATTCTTGTATTAGTTTAAATAAATATTTAGTTTAAAGACAAAGATATGAAATTAATTTTGAGAAAACCCAACCCTAAATCCAAATTTAAACAACAAATATACAGCAATCATAAATCTGTCCTCATACTTTAAGAACCGTTACGAGACCATTAATGCTGACTGGCTGTTATTACATTTGATGTCTTAATGACCCAACCTTCTGATGTCCTGCGATATCCTGCTGTCGGCCTTTAGCTGGGTTCAGATCGTATCCAATCGGATTTGCTTTGACCAGTTGCGTTGGCATTTCCTGCGCCGTTTAAGTGCCGTATCCCGTATCCTGGCACACGCTTGATTAACTGGCCTGAAAGCCGCAACAAGCATGATATGCATATTCTTATCCTGGCCTCAAATCATCGGTCGAATGCCAGCCACGAATAAATAAATAAATAAGCTTTTTATGTGGCAAATCAGTGATTGAAAATGCCACATACTTGTACAAGGATACATTCATGTGTGTGGGTATCCTCGTGTCCTAGAATTCAAAGGACATCCGCTTCTGGTCACGCACGGGACATCAATCGACTTGCAACGCACTTATGTATGAAATTTTTACCAAGCAGCCCAGAAAAATAAATTATTTGTTTTCACTTTCGGCCAGAGAATGAAATTTAAATGGCTCACATGGTGGCAAGAGTGCTGAAAGGCAGAGCGCCCAGGAAACGGAAATGAATTTATGAAATCATTTAAACTCAATTTACGTCGTGAATAAATAAAACAAGCAAATGCTTGCCGTGACACTCGTTGTCGTTTCCCTTGCTTTCATTGTTGTCCTTAAAAAAGTTAGCTTTTCTAGCTAGATTAATTATAAATAAATATATAAATAAAACCTAAAAACATATAACTAAATATTGTATATATCAAAACTAAAATTAAATAGTGTAGTTTAATAATGTTTTTTAGGTTCTACTAACTAACTTTACCTTATTATTTAAGTTTTAACTTATATACGAAATATATTACTTCAGAAACCCTTACAAAAATATAGCTAAATCTCAGGAATCAACACTAGTTGCTTTTCCGCTTTTCCTACCCCGTGTTGCATTCGTGCAAATGAAACAACTTTTTTCCGTCCGGCCGCAACATGGCAATTTCCGCCACGTCCAGACAGAAAGTACTTATTAAGCATTTTAAACAAGCAATCAATGCCTCGTTTTGCTCACACTCCCCTTCGCTTTTTTGTGTATCGAATCTCTTCTGCAGGATATTGGATCTTCGGAGCGCAATTTTGTGATACTTGGGTGGCCTTTGATGTCATGTGCTCAACGGCGTCGATACTCAACTTGTGCGCCATCTCGATGGACCGCTACATTCACATCAAGGATCCGCTCAGGTGAGTGATTGTGTCACCTGCATAAAATATCCCATCGAAAACTAATTGTCCGGGCTGTCAGAATCCGGGTAAAATCGATTTATTAATGTTCGTTCAGGGGGCTCGCTGCCATCGCAGGTGCTTTGTATGCACGTTACTCATACGCCGTGTGTACGTTACTCATACGCCGCGTTGTCATGCCCGTCACGTTTGGTACCGTTCCCAGCACTCGAGTTGTTTATGGCACTGCCGCTCATTAATCGAGGCTCATAATTGTTTCATTAGTAACAGATTTATGTGGCTTTACGACGGTCTCCGCTCTTTCCTTCCTTTTTTTTTCGTTTGCACTTCATCTTGCGAGTTCATCTTCAAGTTGGCAGTAAGCACTTTCGGATCAGCATTTCAGCTGTGGTTTTGCGGGCCAAACTAAGTTCAGCCAAGTCATGCTCTTGGGGTCAGGCCAAGGAAATAAGTAACAAAAGAAGTGTCATTACCAGCTGGTGAAAAGTGGAGGAAAGTGGCAGTAAGGGCAGTTTGGTCGAGAGAGAAAAGAGCGCGGGGTTTCCCCATAATTGAGTTGCTATAGAAAATGTTACTAGCTGGCAGTTTCTTTCGCAATCTTTGGAAATTTTTTATGATTTCTCTAGATAATAGAAAATTATAGAAAAAATACACAAAAGCGTATACGCGGTGTAACATTTTAATAGAAAACATAATGAAACAGATTGAATTTGGTTAGCTATTTAACTATAGCCTAGCAATAGGACTCACACAATAATTTTAGTCAAAAGCTAAAAAAGTTGTGTAGGAGTCATTTCCGACCCTATAAATCATATATATTCTTGATCAGCATCGAAAACTGAGTCGATCTAGCTATGTCTGGACAAAAGGTATTTTTTTCAAAAATTTGAAAATTTTTAAGGGGTTACATCACTTAAATTGTCAAAAATTAATAAAAATCCTAATTTTTTTAAAAATTTAAATTGAGTACGCAGATTTATTAAACTACTAAAAACTAAGATAAGAGTGATTTCCGAATTAAAATTAATGCACTTTTGGCTTAGTTATGGGATTTTTAATATTTATTTGGCGATAAATGATTCAATGAATTCGAATATTTTATGCTAAGTTACGATCGATTTCTGATTCGATCTTTTAAATCAATTGCAACCTGCCAGGGCTTATCAAATTTTGGCTTCCCGAATTTAGTTTCCTTTCTTGTTTTGAATTAATATAATATGTTATGTACTTTCTAAAAGTTTAAAATTTTACAACCTCTGTACACAAAAATTCCCTCCTTTTACAAAGTCTTCTCTTAACTATAACCATATCCTGCTTCCCCTTAAATTTTTAAAACTCACTCAAATTAGTCGTAATACCCAATAAATTTAAAACCCCTAATTTATTCTATACTCGCTTTAAATATATAAGATAACCTGCTGGCAGCTACCGGTGTCACCTCGCTGAAAATGACTTCATCTCTCAGCCCGGCTGAAGGTAGACCAAATGTTCCATTATCGCAGTTCAATCTACCTTGCGCATCGGGCACGTTCCTCCAGCTGCTATCCCCGGCGCTATCCTGGCAGGAAGCCTCGGAGACAATCAAATCCTGCTGCCTCAGGTGTATTCAGTCAGGGTATGGGAGTCTGTGTGTTTGTCAACGACAATGAGCTTGTCCTGCTGCCGTCGTGCCCTAAAACGCTGCCAGTCAGGCCATGTTAGCCAGCTTTGTAGTCAACAGTCAGCAGTTGTGCTGCCTGTAGGCAGCCCAAATTGATTTCCACCGGCGAGCGAGCGATTCGCACAAAGAGGAGGCATTCGGCAAAACTTGAAACTAGTTTATCAAGTGCCCAGTCCCTCTTCAGTGCCCAGAACCTCCGTCTGGACCACAACAATTGTGTGTTAATTAAATTTTCAACAATGCCTCAGACGACCGACCGCACAAGTGCTGCTGGCTGCTGCCCGCCAGCAAACATTTTTTGGCATACGAATATTACATTTGCGGCCAAGAACAAGCGCAAAAATTTATTATGTGTCAGCAGCCACAGCTGAATTCCTTCCTTCATTTCTGTGTGTGCTTCTGAGTGGGTGAACCTTTGTCTCTACTTCGTTCTAGACTTCTGCTATTTTGACGTGTGTGGCCACTGAAAATAAAATTTAGAAGTTAGGAACTAGGGAATGTTCTATACATGCTTACAGGGACAAGCTTCGTAGTCCTTTTACCTTGCACGATATTATCGTTTCAGTCAGAAGCTTAAAACGCAGTCAAGAAGTCATTTGCGACCCTATAAATCAAATATACTCTTGATCAGCTTTAAAGTCTGAGTTGATCTAGCCATGTCCGACAAAATTTTAATTTTTAAATTTTTTTTTAATTTTATAAGGGGTTACATCGTTAAAATTGTCAAAAATTGATAAAAATCCTCATTTTTATAAATTTTAAATTGAGTATGCAGATTTATTAAACTACTAAAAACTAACATAGGAGTGGCTTCTGAATTTAAATTAATGATCTTTTGGCTTAATTAAGAGATTTTTAAATTTGATTTGCAGAACATATTTTCATATAAAAATATAGATTAATATTGGGTACAAGAACGGTTTTATAATTATAGTCAGAAGCCTAGAACAATATGAAGGAGTCGTTTCCGACCCTATAAATCATATATATTCTTGATCAGCATCAAAATCTGAGTCGATCTAGCCATTTCCGACAAAAATTTAATTTTTTCAAAATTTTGAACATTTTTTAAGGGGTTACATCGTTAAAATTGTCAAAAATTGATCAAAATCGTAATGAATTAAAATTTAAATTTGAGTAAGTAGATTTATTAAACTCCTAAAAACTTACATAGGAGTGAAATAGAATTTTGATTTTATGCTCTTTTGAATCAGTTATGAGATTTTTAAACTTTGATTTGTCGAAAAATTGTTGTATAAAAATATTGATAAATATTAATTCATATGCCTAATTATGGTTAATTTCCGATTTGATCCTAAATGAAATTGCCAACTGAGAGGGTTTATAATCTTTAGATTCCCGAAGCTAGTTTCCATTCTGATTTCAATGTGTAAATATGGTTCGCCTAATGTTATTCTTCTAAAATGAAATCAATTAGACTCCCCTTTAAGATGCATTAAATCTTTTAAAAGCTTAAATATATTATAGAATACTTTTAAATCCTTTTTTTTTAATACTCATAACTCTTGTCCTACAACATTTCTCCAAGTGCTTCAGAGCAGAGTTAAAAATGACGTTGGTCAAGTCGCTGACAGGCACTAGGGGTTGTTGCTGGCTCAGTTGGGGAGCAACCCGACGAAATGATTGCAGGAAGCCTTTGGGGGCGGCGGTTATGTAGGGTCCTCAGCAGCTAAGAGGCAACAGGGGGCAACTATGGCAAATCGAGACAGTTGGCAGAGAGAGACCTAACCCCACAGCACCTCCGCCATGCGCCATGAAAGAACCATAATAAATCCTTTGATGCTATTTTCAGCCAAAAGCCAAAAGTAGAAAAATGTTTTTTTTGGGGGCACCACCAACCCGTAACTGTTTTGTTGCTTTTCCTGTTGCCACCTGGGGTGGCTTATTCGCTTATGAAAAATGCTGTGCGACATTTGTATCTCGCCTCCCATGCCATTCTCTGAGTTTAACAGCATCCCTCCCATCCCAATCCTTCCCTCCAGCAATCCATCTATCTCTCTATCTGTGTATCTTTTGTGTGGCTCGGTTCACGTAACGAGTTGGCGAGCATATAACGCTCCATTGATGTGGCAAGTTGATGCCGAAGCGAGCTGAAAATTCAGATTGCACAATTTTGTATGCCACGGCAAAAGGATTTAAATGAGCTCTCCCTGGCGGGGGCGATGGGATAGGGGAGGATGGGAGGAGGAGCCGTCTATCCTGACAACTTTCATGGAACATTTTTCCCTGATTTTGAATTCCGTTTGTCCTTCGACCAGGGAAAAGGGGTGGTACAAGCATAGATGGAATTGAAAGTGAAATTAAGCAAGGACGGGCATGGATTTTCCACCAGGTTGCAGTTTATAAGAGATGAGAGGATGACAGAGGGGAAAGTGTCAGCCGGGGTTGACATCGAAAGGTTGATGACGCGGTGAATGACACAAATTGCATGATTGATTGCTTGATGCTTTGAGAGGTCCTCTACTCGGAATGGAATAATATTTCTATATACCTAGATGTTTTAATGGAGGAGCTAGCCCTTATCGAAGGCAAAAGCTTTAACTGCAGGGCTAGATAAGTGAAAAATGGTTATCAGTTAAAATTTTCCTTTAAGCGGGGAAAAGCTATACATCTATGAATAAATATTTAAAGAATTGTTAACCATGTTCACCTTATTTAAAGAATTTAAACTTTCAAAAGAAAGTTACTGCCTTTATAGATGTATAAACTATTGCATATTCATCTGCTTAACTTTAAATACTTTCAAAAGCTGTTTAGCTTGCCTTAGCCCTTATCCAAACTCAATAATGGATTTACTCTTGATGCAAATTGTGCAATTCAAACGCTGATTAAGACCGTCCTAGTGTTGTCCAATATTAATTTGAGCCCTTGGGTTAATGACATTTGCATAGACACTCAGACCTCAGCCGCCGCCGGCCAAGTTCGTGAAATTGAGTTTAGCCACCTGAATTCGTTTTGCATTTGCACCTTGGGCCAGGGCAAGGTACCTTCTCCACCGGAGGCACTCTACACTTCAAATGTCAAGCCGTCACTCACCTCTCGGGGACTGAGACTGAGTCTGAATCTGGGTGAGAAGGATTTGAACCTGAGTCTGAGTGTAAATCTGAATCTCAAGGAGCCACGCCAACAGCAACTTGACTGCAGGATAACTCAGCGCAGCGCAGAGCACAGTTGGCCACCTTTTGTGCCTGAGAAATGGTAGCTGGTGGTCATGCACTGTGAGAAATTTATTCATTTTTATACCCTTGCAGGGTATTCTTATTTTAGTCAGAAGCTTGCAAGCCCGGGAAGGAGTCATTTCCGACCCTATAAATCATATATATTCTTGATCAGAATTGACAGCCGAGTCGAACTAGCTACGTCTGTACAAAATTGTTTTTTTCAAAAATTTAAAAATATAGATAAATATCTGTTCAAAGAATGGTATTATAATTACAGTCCGAAGCCTATAACAATGTGAAGGAGTCATTTCAGACCCTATTAATCATATATATTCTTGATCAGCATCAAAAGCTGAGTTGATCTGGGTATGTCCGGAAAAAATTTATTTTTTTCAAAAATTTGAAAATTTTATAATTGTCAAAAATCGATAAAAATCCTAATTTTTGTAAATTTTAAACCGAGTATGCATATTTATTAACCAACCAAAAACTAACATTGGAGTGGTTTCCGAAATAAATTTAATGCATTTTTGGCTTAGTTATAGGGTTTTTAAACTTAGTTTTGACGAAAAAAATTATCTTACAAAAAAAAACTAGAGAAAAATATTAAATATTTAAGATATTTTCTTCGAGTGCCTCTCTATGTCTAGAATATATATCGCTATCCTTGGTCCAACACCAGACGCGCTCTTTATGTAAATCTGATTTATTTGCATGTCAAAGTGGAGGCAGCAGCGTGGCGCATTCCTTGCTTGCCGGCGTCTCATTAGGATAACGCCCACTCGACTCCCACATTAAAGGACCTTGTGCCTACCCAAAGGACACCCCCAACCCAAACCCTCTGATCCCACCCACAGGCCCATTCATCTAGGAGCTGTCTCAGGGCAGAAAGAATCGCTGATTCAGTATATTTTCTTAGCGTTTTAGAATAATTGCAGGCGTTTAATTTAATTGCGCTCGCCGTGGATTTTCCGAGGAAGGCGACGGAAATTGGCAAAAACAATTTGGATAAAAAGCGCGTGCAAATTTAATTAGTAGCAGACAAAGTGAAGATGAAGCGTCGTCCTGAACCCCAACCAGAAATGAGAAATTTTTGCGTATTTTATGTGACGAGGCATCAAGCCTCGAAGTTGCTGCTGGTGTTGTTTTTTCGCGTTCCCCCGGCATTGTCGGTTGACTTTGGCGTCTGTCATCATCGTAACTGTCAGGCGCATATGTGAAATTCATTTTAAACTGCAATAAAAACTGAAAGAACAATGAAAGTTTGCCGCAGGCGACAGGATGAGGTTTTTTGGGTGTTCGTTGGGCTTGGAGCTGGGGCCGCCCCACTTAAACGCACACCGCACAAAACCTGTTCGTTTTGAAGCTTCAATGACGCACTTGGGAACCTTTGCGTAATTGTATTTTTGCGATGTTGTCTTGGTCGTGGTCGAGGATATTTCTCACTCAAAACTATGGGGTTGTAACCCCAAATCACAAGGGATTCCCCTGACAAGCTTTTATTGCGCAAAGATTGAAAATAGATTGGGGAATATTGGATAAATCAATGAAATGTAGGTAAGGAACAAGTATTTTCTATTACTCCCAGATGGTGTTTAAGAATGATGGCGAACTCATGTAAGGGGAAGAATAGGTTTCTCTCCATCTGTCCCTAAAATATTGCAATTTTTAAATGCCACATTTTAAAGAGCTTCGAACCAGATCCTCTTCTCTTTTGCTAAAAAGATAATCGGTGGATTAGCGCTCAAAAGGAGGGCAGCTTTCAGGACTTTCAGGATATAGATCGGAATGTAAGAGGAGTCCTTCCACCGTAACTGGTGTCACCTTTTGGTCACATGGTGCAGCAAGCACGTGCTAGCAATGACAGTAACGAAAACGCTCATAAGGAGTCATCAAATTTGCCAGGACCCAGAAGGAGACGGAGACCAAGACCAAACACCACAAAAAATAAAAAAATAAAACGAAAACAAAAGACAAACAAGCTGGCGGCCAAGCTGACGTGGCAGGAGCAGTATAAAGAGCAAAAGAAGCAGCTCAAACTATGCAAATGACGGACACAAAGAAGGCGTGATGAGGATGAGGAGGTGGATCCCGGGATGCCCTGCGGAAGGATCATTGTGCGTGCCTTGTGGTAATTTCTTGAGTGCATGTGGGACAAACACAAAAGCCACCGCATGCCACGCAGCCAGTCAAGCTGCCAGCGTTAAATGCAAATGTCCTTCGGTTCGGAGCAAGAGCAGGAGCAAGAGCCTGTTTCTGGCACACACTCGGGGCTCTCGCCTTACTCTCCTGCTGCTTCAGCCACCTGGAACACCCTCACAAACGATTTCAATTAGCCCATCGATGGCTGATTGGCTCCGCCAGTGCTCCGGTGCTTCAGGACGAGTGGAGGCCCTCGTCCTTGTGCCAGGAAATCGTGTGTCACCTAATGGCTGCAGGTTTATGTGCATATATCAAAGCGCTACCTCAGCCACTCTAAGACACTGAATTAGTGCGCAGGCCATAGGGCTCCAGGCGAGGTCTGGCATTGATGGTACTCAGTACTCGTCTGTTTTCACCTCAGTTTTGTGGTACTATAAGCACACAAAGTGGGTGAAAATTATAGAGAACTCCTGGGGATACTTGGTGGCATAAAAAATTATTAATAGAATTGTTTGGGAAAACCAACGTATTAATCTTAACGTTTTAATTATTAATATCAGCTAAAGCATCATTTAGATGCTATCTTATATTTCTTTATATTCCTTACTTTCCACATAGAAATTGTATTATTATTTTTATATCTGCGAACTATATACATATACTATATAGACTAATATTTATCTTAAATCTAGGTAAGCAAACAAGGGTATCCTTACTCAACAGCACTCGTGACAGGTTGGCCATTGGCATCGGTGGTTAGGTGCCTGCGGAGACTGCTTGGGCTTTCGTCACATGGAAATCAATTTTCGTGCCGAAAACGAAATTGAATTTGTATGTGAATACAATTACATAAACTTCCGTTTCCGCTTTGTCGTCGTAGTCGTCGCCGCCGTCGTCCTTGAGTGAGCGTCAGCGAGTGCGTCTTTGTATTGAAATTGAATTATTCTGTTTGATTTCCTGCACAAGCCAAAATGATGCGGCATATGGCACACAGACCCTCTTCCGGATCCGGATCCCTTTACCCTCACTCCTTGGTTGGGGTTTTTTGGGCTTTGGGTTTTCGGTTTTTCGGTTCTCGGTTTTGTGCAGACTGCTCATTTCCTGCCCGAAACAGCGAAATCGAAGTGCTGGAAAAAGGCGAGCGAGAATGATTTGCATATGCCATTGGCATTCGTCATCGCCGCAATGCGTATATGTGGCTTGTTCTCGGGGTTTTGGGCGATTTGTCGAGTAATTAATGACATGCTGACTGACCCGAACTCGGTTTTAAGTCCCGGAGCATCTACCTGATCCCTGGAACATGACTCGAACTCCCTCTGCTGGGGCGGACCTTAACACTTGTCGCGCACACACCCCGAAAATGATGTTGTCTAATGGCTGCTGGGGCCGTTGAGGGATTGCCAGCGACATGCAAAGCCACAATCAGGACATCAGCATATCAGGACATCGCAACACGGTCCCATGTTCATGTTGTCCACGCCCCTGGATCCTGTACCAAGTACCAAGTTCCCTGTTTCCAGTTTCTCATCTCACACGTGTTGCTACAGCTGTTGTACACACAAAAAATATATATTTATATGTATATGGAGACATCTAGCCACAATTTTTAGAGTAAAATTAGTCTTGCCGGTTTCAGCAATAAATCATTAGAAATATGAAGAAGGAAGAAGAAGGATTTAGATTTTAGACTGTTTTGTACTTAATAATTATTTAATTTTAGTTTGTGAAGAAGTATTTCATTATAATTCAAGAAACCCAAACTAATTCTATTAAAGTTTTGTGACTTAATTTATCAGTTATCCAGCTCGTTACCTCATCCATATGCAACATTCTCTGCATTAAATATTACATAAATATAACACTTCTTAGTAGTCAAACTTTTAAGTTAATTAAACCAGAGTTTTAAAAATGTGAACAAAATACTGGGTAGAATTTCAAAAGTTTACGGAAAACTTTTCCCGAGTGTGGCCTGTGGCTTTTCACGTTTTCACAAGGGCAAAAGGGCAGCGGCATTAGCAGGCCAACACCAGGGGATGTGGGGGACACGGGGGGCTACCCAGCATGGCGGCGCGTGTATTTCCGCTTCCTTGGCCGCAAATTGATGCAACCCTTTCGCTTAACCCTGTGTGACGCCTCCTGTTCTTATCCTCTGTTTTTTTTTTTGTAGATATGGCCGCTGGGTGACGCGACGCGTGGCCGTCATCACCATCGCGGCCATTTGGCTGCTGGCCGCCTTTGTCTCCTTTGTGCCCATTTCCCTGGGCATCCATCGGCCGGACCAGCCGCTGATCTTCGAAGACAACGGCAAGAAGTATCCAACGTGCGCCCTGGACCTGACGCCCACCTACGCTGTGGTCTCCAGCTGCATCAGTTTCTACTTTCCCTGCGTGGTCATGATTGGCATCTATTGTCGGTAAGTCACTATGGAAAAGTTATTAAGCAAAGAAAACAATTATATATATATACTCCTTTATAAATACTTTAATATTATATTTTACCTTTTAGCATTATTTATTGGTTTACTATTTCGTAAAACATTATTCATCCGGCTCTTCATGACTTCTTCACACTTCTTAAATTACTTTAATTTTAAACACAACATACATTTACTTTATTTTTATTTTAGAAACCTAGCTAAATGTTGTCCTTATTATATTTTTATCCAACACTGTGCAGAAACTCTTTCTAGATTGCGGCAAAAGTTTTGCCGTGCATAAAACATGAAATGCATAAAAGAAGGAAAGATATTTTGCAAAACGCCTTTAGCCTGCAATTATGTAGATACAAATAGCCCAAGGTTTTCGCTATGTTTGCTCATACAGAAACCACAAGGCAGGAAAACTTCCTTCAGGCAAGCCGAAAGTTTTCCCCAAAATCTTTGCAAATGAAAACAAAGCGTGAACTCAAATGTTTTTATGCGCTTACCAAAAAAATAAAAGAGAAAATACGGAAGGCAAAATAAAGACTATTTACATACATCCAAAAGGTACCCTTTTTTCACAGAGTGTTTAGGAAAAATTACACAGAGTTATATCCTAGGTGAATGTCTGTAGAACGTTATTGATTTATTTTATTTACAGATTAAGCCTTAAAAAATAAATTCAATGTAAACAAATCACCTTTAGAATATTAAAGGAACAGAAACAGCAAACTAAAAAAAACTAAAAAAAAGGTTATTAAATTCAAAAAATTTGTATACAGTTAAGAGAAAATTATTAGACCAAACTGTTCTTAAATCAAAAGCGAAAAAATATATATTTCAATAAATTTACGTCCCCACAATTTTATTATTTATATTTAATTCTTACTAGAAAAAACACCAAACATATTTCTGCATTTAAGATACTCTCCCGATAGGGCATTACCAATGGAAAGCAAAACAAATGGTGGAAGCCAGCGAGGCAGAAGTAGTAAAAAGTAAATAATAAAATGTTGTAAAAACTGACGAAGTTAGCTGCGCTATCGCAATGCTGAATATATCAGAAAAATGCTACAAGGACTTCGTACGCCAAAATGGCCCCCAGGCACGAGAGAAAGACAGGAAGGAGGCTCGAAGATTGAGGGTTTCGGGATGGGATTGGGGTTCTCTGTTGGGTTGAGCAAATAAGCGCACGCATTAGTGTCCGTCTAAGTAATCCCCAGGAGCGGTGAGGAAAAAGACTTGGGCGTGTGCATAGGGACTAAGCAAGGACACACACTCACACTCACAACTGAATACAGCAACAGGATAGCGATAGCTGCTCATCAACGTTTCGCCCAGCGGCACGTTGCCATTTTAGCTTAACGAGATTTGCAGCCATTGGCCAGGACCCCACCTCCTGCCACGTCCTTCTTCGCCACTCTCTGTGTTCGCACAAATGGATCCCCCGGTGGTTAGCATTGGAATTTTCTATCAAATTTCGGTTAAATTACAGAATAAATATACTTTTATCGTCATAATTTGTGCCTGGGCCTGCTTAGGTCGTGTTATCCTTTTTATGTTCCCATTGGCCATTGGCCATTGGCCAGCAAATACTCTTACCAAGCACATATGCCTCCTCTCCTGTTTATTTGTTGGCTGCCGATGGGCATAAGCTCCGAGAGCAGCAACAACTCAAGTGGAAGATGGGATATGCGATAGTCCGTACGTTGCGTATACGCAGCGTGCGCTTCCCTGGAGCCATTGTTGTCGGCGGTTGGCCCCAGATCGCATCTAATTGACATGCCAAGTGGCCCCAGTGAATAATTATCATATCAATTACAAGGTGTAACCAGTAACTACAAAGCCCCGGTAACTGATAACCGGTTACCAGGCAAAGCAGGCAGCTAAATCATGACAAGCCATTCAATTAGGTGACAAAATAATTGCCATTAATTGGGATTACTAAGGGAATAGCCGTGACCATGATATAGTCATGGGAAAATGGTATACAAATAGGTGCAAACTAAAAGGTTTTTGCCTTGGAAGTATTAAATTATTATTTCATATACAAATTAAATACTGTTAAACAAAGATTTAAGTAATTTAATCAACTCTTTCTGCAGGCTCTACTGCTACGCCCAGAAGCACGTCAAGTCCATCAAGGCGGTGACCCGGCCCGGCGAGGTGGCCGAGAAGCAGCGATACAAGAGCATCCGTCGACCCAAGAACACGCCCAAGAAGTTCAAGGTTCGGAATCTGCATCATAGTTCGCCCTACCATGTGTCCGATCACAAGGCCGCCGTGACGGTGGGCGTCATCATGGGCGTGTTCCTCATCTGCTGGGTGCCCTTCTTCTGCGTGAACATAACGGCCGCCTTCTGCAAGACCTGCATTGGGGGACAGACCTTCAAGATCCTCACCTGGCTGGGCTACTCGAACTCGGCATTCAATCCGATCATATACTCGATCTTTAACAAGGAGTTCCGCGACGCCTTCAAGCGCATCCTGACCATGCGCAATCCCTGGTGTTGCGCCCAGGACGTGGGCAATATTCATCCGCGGAACAGCGACCGCTTCATCACGGACTATGCCGCCAAGAATGTGGTGGTGATGAACTCGGGCCGCTCCAGCGCCGAACTGGAGCAGGTGTCCGCAATTTGACCAAGAGGCGGCTGCCTGAGCCTCGCCTGCTGCGCCGGCGGATATTGCGGATGCGGTGGCCTGCGGGTGGATGACGACGACGATGGAGCGCTTACCACGCGCTACGTCCCATGAGATTCGGTCACGGCGGCTACGGCCACCATTGTGGAGACCGTGGAGGCCGCACAAATGGAGACGGAGCTGCTCTAGGTTCCTATTCTCAATCCTGTCTGTGACCCCCGTCAACCTTCCAGGTCCTGGTACCTCCTGGTATCCCCATAAACGACCCTGCAAACCTGTAAGTATTAACAGCGCGTCCCCGAGACTAAGCAATCAACTATGCGTATACTTAATCGTACGAGTGTCTAGTTGTAAGTACCCCTAGGAAATCGAAAACGAAATCGATACCCTCCCTTCCAAAAAAAAAGCAAAAACCCCATAAAACACACCTACTTGAACCCGAAACGTGATTAGGTCTAAGATCTTCAAAGCCCATCAGCGAAGAGCTTCTATGTAGTTAAGATTCTGTTTGGATATTCATGGCTGCCGCTCATGGCTCCATGCAAATGCGATTATTATGGAGTGACACATGTCACTTGCCACACGTTTCACCCGCATAGACACACACAAAACAAGCACAACACACACACACACACAACACTCTCAAGATCGAAAAGAGAAAATTACAGGCTACGAAATACCCTGTGTTTGGGGAAAAGTAATGCCTGTTTCCTGAAGGTTAACTAAATTGCTCAAGGCAAATGTTTATTTATTTGTTTAGGAATACAAATATATTATTTTTATAGTTTTCAAATATATTTCCTATCCCTAAAACTGTGGCTTTAGTTTATCTCTCGAATATCCTTTACTAAGCGGTACCACTAGTGTAGCATACATCGCGGCGCCCTCATATTACAGCCACGCTTTTACATTTGATTTATTGATGAGAATTTATGGCCATTGAACGAACAGCAGCAGAGGTCTGCTAGCTGCACTCGTAAATCATGCAAAATGATTATTGTTGTTATTCTTATTATTATTATTGCGAGCACTCTAAAACCCCCGCTATGTAGTAAATGTTATGTTTAGTTCAGAGTGCCTCTCCGGGCATTTTATGGCCAAAGTTTGCAGACTGATTTGAATTTATGCGCTAAAATCTGTTCCACAATGGCGGGCCAGCGATGTTAATTAAGCCAACTGTGATTGACACCAACCAGTGGGGGAAGAGGGAGTTTGGAAGGTTAACCTTAACCCGCGAAGCCTTTTTCGGGAAATACTCTGATACTGATTACCGGCGGTGATTTAATGAGCCGCACCTGTGAAAACAAGGTCGTCTCAGCTGCTGTCTCTTCTGCTGCCCGTTGGCGGAATGAACATGTTGCTCCAGGCATCGTCCTCGGCCTGTCTTGTGTCCTGGATCCTGAGTGAGGAAAACAAATGTAAACAGTTTGCTCTTCACGCCATGATGAAAAATTATGCCATCACGGCGAGAAAAATAAACAGCAGTATATAGTATTTATGGTTTTCCTTTCACGGTCTGATAAAGTCATAAATAAAACGATAATAAATTAAGCAATGAGAGGTTAAAGGGGTAAAGCTGTGTCTTGATTTTTTTTATTACCTTGTTCCTAGTGAAATCATTTAAATAAATTTTTAAAGAGGTCTTAAAAATAGTTAATGACAAGAAGGCAATTTCTTCTTAACAAATATGTCTTAGAGTACTAAATATATTATAGATGATTTCTATTATATCTTTACATTTAGAGGTTTCTTTCACCGACAATAAATTTTCCCAGTGGTGCTTTTGCTCAGCTTTTTCTCCCCCAAGCACTCGAGTTTCAATTCCAGTTATTTGCGGATGCCGCAACTCTTGCCTCAGTCCTTGCCGGGTTCTGTTATTAATACAAAGTACTTATGTTGCCCCCGCTCCTGTGTCCTTCATCCTGGGGCCTTCTCCCCACCTCTTCTATCCCCAGCAATCCGCTTACAACTTTTTCAGTCTTTGTTTATTCGATTCCCTTTCGCGCGCACGCTCTCTCTCTCCATTTCGTATTTATTTTGGCAGTTTATTAAAACTTTGGCGCTGCTGCTTTCGTCATTTTAATTACAATACGCACACGGCACAAGACCGAGGCGAGAGGCATTTGTTATCGAGGCGGCCACGCCCACCCAGATACGCCTCCCGAAACGCCCCCCAATCGGCATTGCCACAACTGGCACGCAATCAATTCAAACTTCAACTTCGAACTCGACATTGCACGTGTCGCCGGCTCGCAGGCTCTTAGGCTGAATGGGAAAAAGGCTTGGAATTTTTGGGGCTACCAGAGGCGGGCCTCCGTGGCTCAGAGGCTCAGAGTGCTTTATGGCACACACGGAATGGCCTTGCCAGCCCCATTCCACATTCCATTCGGGTTTATTTGGGGCACCCCCTTTTGACTTTGACTTTGGAATTTGTCGTAACACAAAAAAAGAAATGGCGAGCACATGATAAATGTGCGTGGCAGCGGCCATAAGCCTTAACCCATTATGCCCCGAAATTTGCTTACATTCAATATTGATTGAAATAAATCATCAATTATACTTGGCCAGACCGCAGGAGAAGTGATACTTGAGCAAGGCTTTCAAGAGGCTCCTTGATAAGTTGGAAATTTAATATTACAGAAAAGTTTGGAGCCATACACTGAGATAAACCTTATAGATCAAAGGAAAATACAACATTTCCTTAATTAAAACGCACCAAGACTATTGGTTAAGTGTAATTAATCGCTTGAATAAACTTAGGGAATATTATTGGCACTTCTCGAGGCATTTGTCCTTTGTGGGACGTGGGTTAAGACCTTTATACCATAACCCCATCGATTCGGCTTTGCATAATTAAGATAATGCCCCGCAGCTTTGCTTTGTTTTCGTTTCTCGTTATACGACTTCCTGTTTTCCCTCGACCTCTCTGTTCCTCTCTCTCTCTCTCTCTGTCTCTGTCGATTTCCCAGTTTTCCTGTATTTTTTCGCAGCCTTTGTTCATCTTTGATTTGCTAGAAGCAATTTGGTGATTGCTACTATGTATTGCTCAAGATCCGGTCTCTCGCCCCTTGTCCTCCAATCAGGAGAATGGGTTTTGTATCCTTCGCGAGTTTTAATTGAAACATTTGACATCCCGAAACTCAATTGTCAGCCTGTCTATCTCTTTGGCCTTGCCATCCCTTTGGCTCTCTACTGCTTCTAATTGTATTAGCCAGATTCATGTTAGATGGCTACGTGACCGGCATGTACGATGGGCAAACTGTCTGTGCTGGGAATTCCGAAAGAGGAATATCCAGGCAGGACATGCCCTTTCATTAGCATAATCGCCTCACAACACAAAAAAATACTCACTGAATCACAGACTGTTAAAAAATAATAACGAAAGAGAGGGGGAGTTTCTTTAAAAGTCTGTACATTTGCTGCTTAAATAAACAGATTCCACGTAATTGCTTTCGCAATTCAATTATTTGCCGGCAAATGCATGTCAATAACAGCCGCAAACCATTACATTTTTTCTCCCCTCAAATGAGCGTGTTCGAATTTAAAAAAATATATATATAAAGCACACAAATGAGCATTAAGTAAATATTTGCTGGCAATCGAAGAGTGTTCAAGTTAAACTTTTAATTTCCAATGGGAAAAATTGTGTGTTGTTGACTTTTGGCTTAGGTTACAGACGAAATGTGTGTGTGTTTATTTTGCTCGGCTCACACTTCAAGGACTCAAGGACTAAGCTAAGTTCAATATTTTATGTCGACTGTCTGGCTGGCTTCTTGACAATCCTTTAGGCAGCCATCTGGCTAATCCCGTGTATGCATAATGGATCGTTTATGCAGATACGTATATTCAATTGGCAATCCTTTGAGCCCGCTTTAAAATCTGTGTTTGTACACATGTTTAAATTTGGCATTTCCTTTTAACATTTTCCATTTCCCCAGCCGGGCGATGAATGTCAACATTTCGCATAAATTGCATGTCGATTGCCAAAGAGAGCTCCAAAGCGGTCGCTTTCCATTTTGGACATTTTCGAGAGGCAGGGGGCCATTGACGTTGACTGGTTTAGGCTGATTGATTGATTGATGGATGCTTGACTGGCTGGAGGGATGTATGGCTGAATGCCCGGATAGATGGTTTTTGTGCCCAGCGAATTTGCTGCTTCACCGGCGACGTTTCTCATCTCCCTATGTGGGTGTGTTGGTTTTCCTTGTTCCTTCTAAGCACTGCCAACTATCAACAGTTGGCCGCCAAAAGTTTCACGCTCCTTGCTTGGCTTAACTTTAGCTATATTTTGGCATTTTTACAACTTTTACGCCTGCCAGTGTTTATTTTGCTTTACGACTTTCCACAAATTCCCGCAGTTTCAGCTTACACACAGTCTTTCCTATGGTTTTCTTCCTTTTCCTCTGATTTCTTTTCTCTCTGTCTCTCCTTCGAAGCACAAAATCTTTTCCTGGCGCGTGTCATTTTTGTTGCCTACTTTCCGGCTGAGCTCGCATTCCTGCGCCACATTGCGTATACGCAACGTATGCCTCCGCGAAAAACGTTTTATTGCCAACATCGCCGGGCGTGCTAATTTATACGTTCGGCCTTATATTGGGGCCACCAGGCCTTAGTTTAATACCTCTCATAGCCCCAGTCACGCCCCGAATGGATCATAAAAACCCAATTTTAATCACAATTTCTTGCGTTTGGGCGCTTACTTGGCGGGATTTTCACATAGGCAAATTAGCGAAGGTAATTCGATCGGGCATCAAGGCATATGTGAGGAAAGACTCTTGTATTTTGTTACATTATTTTGTTACATATTCTATGATTACTTTTATATAAATAAGAATTAAATTTCGTTTGATGTATTCCAGTGCGAGAATGCTGCTTTAAAGAACTTACTGTCAGAGATTGATTGATTGATATTGTTTATAAATACGTTAACAGATCAAATTAATATAAATGTACATATATATTTAAGGTTTCAAATTTATTTAATTAATTTTGATATCCTT